AGCTGTTTCACCAGGGCAGGGGAATTCTTGTGTCTGCAGTTTCAATATCTAGCTGTTGAGCTATGTTTAGTCTATGGCTATAAAGTAGCCTTGTTTCTATTCTGAGAATATTTGTCTAATCAGGGGTCCAAGGAATTATTTTGCTCAGTAGAAAGTTATGTTTATTTGGATAAGTTTATACTCCAGGATGGGTGCCTTGGAAAAACCCAATAAAGGCTGTGCGTTGCTGGCGTGTCTCGGGGCATGGTGCACACTTGTAAAAAAGGTAAACTTTTCATTTTTTGCAGAAATAAGAGAAAGGCTTTACACTCATGGATGCTAGCCAGCTCTGAAATGAGACCCCCTTGCAACCCGAGTGCTGCCTGCTGCAAAGCATTACACTTCCCCGAACACCGCGGTCGCTCATCTGTGTGTGGGTGAGGACCAGTGCTGGCCGAGGGGGCAAAAACCCCGGCGTGGGACAATGACGCTGCTCATTAGCTTCTCCCAATAAGTCTTCATCCGAGAGGTGCTCAGCAACTTGAACTGTATTTTCATGTAGCTGCTATTTTCAGAACTTCATTTGCTTTTGTAAATCACAGATGACCCCAACGCTCTGGCTGCTGCAATAGGAAGCTGATGAAATACTGAGCTGAGGGACTTGAAGGGTCAAGGCCCATCACCTGAGACAGGTGAGTGATTTACCACCTCCCCAAGACCTTTTGGTTCATCCCAACTTCCTCATGCCTGAGGGTGTGGGGAAACCGTGATGTTAAACCCAGGACCTTAGGACATTTTTCCCAGCAGTCTTAACCTTTTTCACCTACAGGGTCACAGCGTTTTTTTGAACCTAACAAAGCATTCAGCACTTTCTGGTGATGACCTCCATTTTCCCATTTAAATCCTTTCCCCGGGGTGCTTTGCCTCGTGGCTGCCTTCGGCTTGGTGAGCTTCATCCCGCGAACGAACCGAGCGCACCCGCACCTCGGTGGACTTTACCCTGTTTGCACATGACAAACACAGCTGAGTTGTGACTGCTTGCAACTGAGCAACCACTAATTTTTAGCCCCAAGATAAATCCTAGTTATCTGCTGAGATAAGGCCTGCTACAGCATCCTCCCCGTTTTGGAAGGCACCGGTTTCTGCGCTGGGAAATTGCCTTCGGCCATTGTGTGAAACGGCAGCGCGGCGGCACTGATGTCCGCAGGCAGCTGCCTGCACACTCACACGGGCTTCGGGATGAGCCCGAGACAGGCAGTGGCTCTCGCTGTCACCACCCCGTGCCACCCACCACCTTCACGGCTTCAGTGGTGGTGGCTTGGGCACAGATAATGGGTTTTTCTCTGCAAAAGGCCACTTCTCCCTCCCCAGGGCATCCCCAACCAGGCGACCCTCTGTGCTTTCAGCATTGCTGCCCTGGGAAGATCCCTCTGGCTGTCAGCAATTCTGGTTGGTTTGAGGTTGTGCCTCAAATTAGGAATTGCCCATTTTCATTGCCCAGGCTCGTTGCATTGGCATCGACAACTCAATAATCTCTTCACATTCTTTGCAGCCTGATTGGATTTTGTCCTGGACATCTTATTTTTGTGCTAAATAAGGACATTTCTGTCCCCATCCTGCTTGTCTTGTAAGCCCAGTGCCCCCGTAACAGCCTCAGCAGCTCCCCACCCCCTAACCCCCCCTGGGAAAAGAGCTGCTCGGGGTGGTGGGGCTGTATCTCCATCCCGACCAACATCCCCAGAACAAACCCCCTCCACGAGCTGACGTCCCCCTATGGAGTTCCCATCCACATGCTCATACTCTTCACTCTGTGGCACAAAGTCTTGGAGAAGACAGCACAGCTCCTCTCCTGCAGAGGGGACAAAGCTGTGACTTCGGTGTCACCGCAGGGTCCATGATGAGACCTGTCCTGCTGCAGAGGGCAAGCAAAGGGCACTGGCCATCCCAGGAGAACACGGGATGAGCACCCGGCATTTCCACGCCCCACCCCAGCCCTGCCTCTCCTAGAAATCAAGCGCTTCCCAAGCACCCCGGGATGGTGTTTGCAGAGTGACTCACGCTAACCTGACGGGCCGGCAATAAATTCTGTTACAGCAATAACCAAATTTCTGTCGCTCACGCAGGGCTATTTCCGTTTTCTCCAGGGAGTCACCTCAAGTCCCCATTTCCCTGCCTTTTGCCCACACCAGTGCCTCTGGCCCCCGCGGGGGCTGTCTGCAGGCAGGTTGGTGGTGTTTATGCGAAGTTGTGCCCCGGTTTCCCGCACCGCATGTTCCGCAGCAGCTCCAGCCCTTGCTGCCTGCCCTGAGAGATGGGCTCGGATAATTCCTCATGAGCAAGGCGGGTTTCAGGCTCAAAACCAGGCGTGGTCATGTGGGTTGGATGCTCCTGGGCATCACCAACAGCCACAGGAGGGCTCGCTGGACCTGGCCTTCAGGGCAGAGAGAAGGCAACAGCAGGTACCGAGCTGCCCGGTACCACAAAGCCCCCTGAGCCAAGTCCCCCCGCCCCTGGGAGCCCCGGGACACGGAGGAGGTGGGGGGCAACGACGTCACCCTGCAATACCAGTTTCCTAACACTGATGGCTTGGGACTGAGTGAGGGGAGGTCAAGAGTATGTGGGTGATGGAGAGAGGGGGGAAAGGGCAAGAAAACCTGTGTCAAGGCCAGAGATGAAGGGAAACCCTCCCAGCTGGGAAGGAGAGGAGATGAAGGCTCCCAGCAACGCTGGGGGAAAGAGGAGGGTCTGGCTTGGAGGATCCAGCTGGGGTGACCGTGGCAGCACTCGCAGGGAGGCTGCACCGACCTGATGGGTCCCAGCAGCTCCAGGGTCAGTGACAAGGTCGCAGCTGGGACACCAACCCAGGGGCCTCGATCCCGGGGTGCCAAAAGCATCCCCAGGAGAGCCACGCAGGCATCCCACCAACCCTGCTGCCTCCAGCTGACCCCTGAGGGAGCTCCTCAGTCCGCCTCAGTTTCCCCACCTGGCCATCACCTGCTGGTTGTTTAAGGAGGGAAACACAGACAGTTCCCCAGAAGAGATCGTATCTGCCAGGGAGAGCTGTGCCCGGGTGGGATTGCTGGGGCAGCCACACCACCTCCGTCCCTGGGCATCACCAGCAGCACCTCTGTGCCACACCGCCCCACGGCACAGCGCGGCCCTGGCACGTTTCTTAGCCATCCAAGGCCGACCGCAAGCAGGTGACGGGCACGAAACATTTCAACTACCGAACGCACCGTGAACGGCCTTTACAAAACACTTTCATCATACACCAGAGCTGTCGAAGCGCTGCGTTTGCCGGGGGAGGAGCAGCCCTGCCAAGCTGTGCAGCCGGGACCTGAAATAGCACTGTTGGGTTTTTTGTTGCTTCTTTTGGTGTGTCCCGAGAGTGACCTGGATCTACACTAGGTCACTTATGTTTCTGGGCATGTCCATGTTCAGAGGTTCATGCCCCACTGTGTTTAAACAGTGAACGCTATCCCTGGGAACAGTCTCATTTTGGGCAAAACCTTCTGTGTTCCTGCAGGGCTACACCCAGGCCTGGCCTCAGGAGCCCCTGGCAGCTGCTCCACCATAAAAAACAGCTCAGAAATTCACAGAACCAGATTTTCCCATCTTTAGCCATGCAGTAATAGGATTTTACGCTCCTCAGTGAAGCAGGGGACTCCCGGCTCCACCAGCACTGAGAAACATGCCACGAAGAAAAGGCAGCTACAAGAAATTATATTTTCCTTTTATTTACCTATGACCATGACAATGTATTTTTGCTAGCTGCAGAGATGCTTCGCACTGTAAACTGGGCGCCTGGAGGCAGGCAGTCCTTCCAGCTCTGCCAGGTTCAGCAATAACCCCCGCTTCTCAAAACACAATATTGTTATCCAGGGTAAGGAGAGTGTCTGATTCACAGAGCTGCTTTTCTCCATCACCAAACCCTCCGTCGTCAGAGCATGATATATACACCCAGGCTCCCCCAGCGGCCCGCTGCTAGGGAACGCGTTTTGTCAGATAAAACCTGCTAACTTAGAAAATGTTGTACGCACTCAGAAAAAAAGGCATCCACTCCACCGGAGAACTCCGCCGCAACACACACAAATATTGCACTTGTAATTTCAGAACGGGAAAGGACACGAGGATTTCCTATTACACAGCAACGCGTCCAGCTATAGGAGGTCAATAAATAAACCAGGGGTGGGAGTGGGAGGCGGTTGGCTTGCCCACCTCCGGTGCAGGGGAAGGACCCGGCTTTCGCTGCTCCCGGGGGAACCCGCCACGAGCGAAGGAAGCGCCAGGCTCCTGCGAGACGGCTGCGTCGGGGGATAGGGCGAGCCGGGAGGCGTCACCGGCACGGGGAAGCACAGCAGCATCATGGGGCTGGTCCAGTTCAGAAGTCTTTTATCCAGGGAAGATGTTCACGTCGGTGCTGTTGTCCCCTTGCCGGAGCCCTGCACAAAAGTCCTCCTCCTCCTCGAAGAGGATCACTCGTCGCCTTCCAGCAACACTCGCAGCTCGGGCGCGTGCTTCACGAGCCGGGAGGCGTCACCGGCACGGGGAAGCACAGCAGCATCATGGGGCTGGTCCAGTTCAGAAGTCTTTTATCCAGGGAAGATGTTCACGTCGGTGCTGTTGTCCCCTTGCCGGAGCCCTGCACAAAAGTCCTCCTCCTCCTCGAAGAGGATCACTCGTCGCCTTCCAGCAACACTCGCAGCTCGGGCGCGTGCTTCACAGTAGTCTTGTGGGAGCTTCCCTCCTGGCTAAAATCCATGCCGGAGTCACCCCGAAGGCGTCGTACCAGCGATGGTGAGATGGGGCGATGGAGCAGTACCAGACTGCTTGGCTTGTTGGTCCCCTCGGCCTCATGCTCGGTGCCTTCAGCTGCCCCACACCCGTCCGCTGCAGGAATATGGCTTGGGGGCACGAACGGCAGCGGGAAGGCACGCTCCCGCCGTCCCCCGGGAAGGCCTCTGCTGCCCGATTTCATGTAAACACACAGCTCCCAGCCTGCCCCGAGAGGGTCCTGAGGTCTACAGTGGGGAGCTGGCTTTCTTCTGGTTAATTATGTCTAAGTACAAGTCAGAGCGCAGGAAGCGGGGGTAGGAGTCCTTCTCCATGAGCCCATAAATCCTCTTCTGCGCGAGGTCGAAGCAGCTGCGGGTGATGTTCTGCAGGTTCTCCTTGGTGTGCTCCCGGGTGTAGGAGTCCAGGTTGACCTGCGGGC